GGGGGGGGGGGGGGGGTTCTAACATGGCACGTGGCTCAGGCAGTCCCTTCAGTGGGGCTCGGGGAGTGGGATGTAGAGTTTAGGAAGTGGAAGGCTGCAAGCAGAATGAACTCCGCCCCAAGCAGCTGAATGCACAACTCTGGGAAGCAGGGGCTGGGTGGAGGTTGTGGGGAGGGCAGTAACCGGTATGCTGGGGCACGCGGCCTTGGGCAGTCCAGCTGGAGTCTGCGGGGAAACTCTATTTCTGCATGTCACACTGCAGGAGGAGGACAATAGAGGGGTCGCTCTTGGCAGCTTCCTTGAACTCCTCCAGGGTGATCTGGTCATCCTTGTCCTTGTCCATCTTGGTGAAGATCTTGTCAACCCGCTGCTGGGGCGTCAGCCCGTCCTGGTTCATTCTCATCATGATGACCGTCCCCACCATCTTGTAAATGGCCTGAGGCATGAAGGACAGAGGGAAGAGGGGTGAAGTGCCCAGGAGGGCCCCTTCTGCACGGCGGTAACACCATGCTAGCGGGGGCAGGGCTGAGCGGGTCCACACAGCAAGTGAAGGGGTGGTTGTAGAACAGAGAGGTGTACTCATGTTCGTTTTAACTCTTGCTAGCTGGATAACAATAGCACAGCACAGGGAGACATAGGCTTGTACTGGATTGCTAGCCCCTATGCCTCCATAGGCACACAGCTACTGTTAGCCATGCTAACTGGATTAATGGGTAGGCTACACGCCACCCCTTCACCTGAAGCCCTGCCTGCCCACCTACCTGCCCACCCATGCTGCTGCTGTCCTTCAGCTAGCTTTGATCTAGCTCAGGTGAGTCCACACACGCTGCAGTCACACCTTACCAACTGCAGCGTAGAGACACCCCCGCTGGCTAGGTCTATAGTACACCTGCACTAGCTTGCATTGAACTAGTGTGCTTTAAAAAGTAAAGTACATACCAGGGGACAGGTGTGATTGCAGCAAGTGGCTACCCTGGACCACCACCCACGTAGCCATGGTTACACAGCTATTTTGCAGTGTGCTAGTGCAGGTAGATCCACCCGCGCCAAAAGTTACACCCTAGGCTGCAGAGTAGACATACCCAGCCGCTGGTCTTTTTTCCCCTGCTGCAGTGACTGTGGGCCAGACTGTCTGCGGACGTAACCTGGTGCCATTCCAGTCAGCACAGAGCTGCATCAATTAACACCAGCAGATGTGGCCCTGCATGGCTTCAGGGCCCAGTCTGCACCCGAGGCAGGGCATTCATTGCCAGAGGTGATTCTGTGATCGAGCACGGGGACTTAGGAAGGGGAGAGCAGGGCTAATGTTCCGGGGGAGATGGATTTACCACTAGGGGCCAAGGGTGTTTATGATCTAGGGTTTGGGGCTTGGTTTATACTGGAGTTGCTTTTGAGTTTGGACACTCGTGACCTGCAAATTTTTTGAAGGGGCATCTATTCTAGTCGCTTGGTCCCGCTCTTCAGCCGCCCATCAGTGCTGGGGCTAATGATCAGAACCGGCCCACTGCAGCATCTTTGACCCCACTGTCTTCCCAGAGACAGAGAGGCCAGGGCATTCCAATACCTCAATTATTTCTAGCATCTCCAAGCGGGTTATCTTCCCGTCTCCATCTAAGTCGTACATCTCAAAGGCCCAGTTCAGCTTCTGCTCAAAGCTTCCCCTGGAGGTGACGGACAGGGCACAGATGAACTCCCGAAAGTCGATCGTCCCATCGCCGTTCTTATCAAATGTGCGGAAGGCGTGCTGGGCAAACTTGGAAGCATCTCCATAGGGGAAAAACTGCAGGGCGAGAAGAGGCTAGTAAGAGATCTGGAGAGATAGAGGACCAGCGGTGCAAGGGAGCATATGGGATTTGTTGCTGCTTAGAGACAGATACATACAGAATCAGTATTTCTAACAGAGAGATAAAGTATAGGGCATCAACTTAGAGATAATAGCCAGGGGGGGGGAAAGGAGTAAGATTTGGACCTATTTGATTCTAGGCACAAATCTGTGAAGGCCTGGCCAAACCAAGAACTTTAGAGGACTTCTTAAGCCTCTTACTATAGTGTGGGGGCCACTCTAAATATGGCCACTTTCTATCACTGCAGAGAAAGGGGCGTGGGAAACACCAGGGCAATCACACTCCAGGAGACAAATTCAGGGCATGGCTCAGCCTGCAGATCGAGGGTAGCAAGGAAGGTTTTAGGGGCAGGAGGTTACGTTCTTGCTCTGATTGGACTTGGAAGGAACAATCAAACATTCGGTAGCTTAGAGCACGGTCAGGGGCTTCTGTGGCTCCAGCCTAGGATCCTGCTAGCAGAGGGAGATCTACTAGAGCTTTGCAATAACAATCCATCCCTCAGGCTGGGCTGTGCCAGCCACGGCCAGCAGCGAGTCCCAATTTCATCCTAACCATAAAGCTCTCTCAGGGTCCAGCCAGCACCAACAGTGAACCGGGGCAGTTCAATGGTGCTCTTGACCTCTGGCTGGTCTAGCACTACCTTCACCCAGGTGAGTTAGTGGTTTCAGCTAGTCACCAAATGCAGCCTTTTAAACAGCCGCAGCCCCATGTTTCCCGGCAGCTTACTCAGCGCCTGCCCCCATCCACCAAACACTGACCATCTTCTTCCCTCCCCTGTACCTTGATGTAGAGCTGCTGGAATTCATCCAGGTTGAGGATACCGGTGGGACAGTCCTTCAGGAAGCCCTTGTACCACTGCTTTAGCTCTTGCTCACTGAACTCTGTGCTTCTCACCAGGTCGTCCAGCATCTCGGGGGCCAGCTTACTGTTGTGTTTTCCCATCACTGACTCTGGAAAGAACAGCACAGTTCCTAGATGCTGAAGTACTGACCGTGTTAGGGAGAGGGCTGAGAGACAGGAATTCTTGGGCTCCCTTCCCAACTGTGCCACTGACACGTCTCTTCATCTCCGTGCCTCGGTTTCCCCCCGCTCCCTCTCTGCAAAATGAGGGTAATCATGCTGACCAGCCTCATGGGTGTGTATGGGAGAGTTGGCTAGTTAAGCGTTGTACAGAGCACTGACATTGTCGAAGGTCTTGGAAGCATCAAGTATCAATATTACCAACGTTTCAGAGGAGATAGAAACACTACTGGAAAAGCCTGTGACTGATGAATATGACTCACTAGCCACCTCTCACACAGATCAAAGCCCTGAGAAGATCTGCCTACCCTCCCCACCACTCAGTGGGGTTGTTTGTGGGGTGGATGTTTCCATACTCACCACGTCTCTTTGGGCCTTAACCAGCCACACTTGCAGTAGCATGTGTGACTAGGGCCACCCTGGCTCCTACAGAGAAGAGACTTAACAGCTGATCTCAAGAGCACCATCTGACACCACTCACTTTTCAAGTCTTGTCTGGACGCCATGAGACAGACCTTGGCCAACACCCCACCTACCGGTCATTGGCACCTGCCCTCATGGCCAGTAAAACCTCAGCGCCCAGTGACTCCGTCTCATGGCACCTGCCACAATGTAAGATAGGCTTCAGGTGCAGCTGAGAAGGCTCACAATATTGACTCCTGCTGGAGTTGCAAGGCCATTAAGAATCATCTTGTTCGGAGTTTTTCCTGGGATGATGTCATAGGCCCCCCGAAAGCAGCACGACGGGGTGGAATTTTGAGGACCCGTCTCGCTGCCGGGGAGTTGCAGTAGCAGCTGGGAACCCTTTTCCTCCCTTCCCCATGGCTGTAGCAGGCCAAACCGGCCACCAGGTAGCAAGAGAGCAGGGCACCTTAATGCCGCGCGCTCCGGCACACACCTCTGGGGATGGAGTCAGGAAGGCATCAGATCGGCTTAGTAAGGAAGCCTCCAGCAATCATCCAACACTGTCAGTTCTAAGAGTGCTAGAATGTCTCTTGGCCAAGAGACAGCCAGCTTTCACTCAGTGCTTGGGCAAGGCTGGAATGCATATGGGGGGGAGCAGGAGCAGGGGGCTAGTGGTAGCTGCAGCAAGGGAAGGGGTCTTTCCATAAAAATGCTTCAAAGAAGGAGAGAGAGCAAGAGCGCGCGTGAGAGAGAGCACCGAAGCTGTGAAATCAGAGCATTCGGTGGTCTGGGCTATGAAGGGTTAAATAAATTAGTATTCATAGAGGAAATGAAAGGGGTGGAGCAGAGCCCAGGGGAGCCCTTGTCAGTATTTTGGGGGTGGTGTCACCCCCAGCTTTCAGACAGCAGGAGGTAGAAGATGATGTTTTTGGAACAGTCTCACCTCACACTTGTGCACTACTCTCCTGATATTTGAGGTTGAATTTGAAGCCCTGGTGCCTGCAGTAACGTGAAAAAAGAAGAATCTCTGGGTTTTTAAAGAGTACGTTTCTAGCCCTCAGGGAGACAGAGGAAGAGCTTGAAAAGTGTCACTTGAGCGTAGCCCAAGAAGCTCGGAACCAAGAAAGCAAAGAAACAGAAGCCCAAAGTTTTTTCTCTAAACTTGGGATTTTTTTAAGTCACAGTTTGTGATTTTTGAATGTTTGGGTTTGGCAATCCTGAGGGTCCGTCCGCCCCCGCCCCCATTACTTAGCTCAGACAGATCAATCCACCTTTTAGTCCAATAGGCGTGTGCTTGGCCACATCTAAGAATTCCAGATAGTGGAGTGTTGCCAGCACTGATATAGGGAGGAATTTGAGACATCTCCCCACCCAGAACACACCTCTCTTCTCCACATAAGGCTGGCTGCTTTTTCCTCCTGATGCAAGTGTCAATAGAATAGATCCTCGGGGAACAAAGAGGGCTGCAGGAAAATATTTGAGTAGCTATAGATAATAATCTGGTGCTGTTTGCTGTGGTCAGAGTAGGGAGGCATGATTTCTGACTTCTATTCCTGACTCTGCATTGACCTGCAAGCTCAGGCAAGTCATAGGTCAGCCTTTGTGCCTCAGTTTCCCTATGTATCAAACAGTTGTTATACCTCTCCAAGTGGAGCACTGTTAGTCTTAATGAGTGCCTGGCAAATGCTTTGAGATTCTTATATGACAGCTGCAATATACCAGCAAAGTATTTACTGTGATGAATTCCTGAGTGGGGAACCAGTGTCTAATGAATTCCAGTGATGGATGCCAAACCCCCCACTGTGGGAGGTTAACTAGGGAGCAGAGGAGAGGGTACAGGTGCTTCAAAGAGGTCATTCCTAGCACTACACCCCCAGACATAGGTCCCAAGACAGAGCCCAAGACTTTCAATTCTAAAGCAGATACCTCTACCACTTGAGCAAAAAGGGAGTAAATCCATGAACAAGCAGCAGGAGGCTCTCCTCCTTTGTGCTCTAGCCAGCAGAGGGCGACATTTAGCAAGCGTGTTACATTGGGCTGCAGTATTGTGGATGTCATGATTTCAAAGGTGCTGCCGGGGCAGCTCTGACATTTGCCTGTCTGCATCAGTCGGCCCTTTATAAAATAGCACTTGCTTTCATGCCCAGGCTCTCCCACGGCCCACCGAGAAGCAAGATACTGGCAAGTCAGGCACTGCCTAGGCAAAGAAAGAATCTGCCTCGTTTTCAGCAATCGCTCCCACACACCCTGGGTCGATTATTTGCTGTTTAATCCAATGACAGATGGTGGGCCAGGAGGACACTGGTGTTACCTTGTACGCTTAAAAAAAAAAAGAAAGAAAATTGGATGTTTAAGTTCATCAGGAGACAGACCAGAACAACAGACAAGCCCAGATCTCAGTTTGATGCATCTTCCAAAATATGGCACTTTAAGTGCAAGTGATTTATAGACATCTGCTTTGGCACTCCTCTCTGTCTCCCCCTCCATGCCTGCCTCTTCCTGTACTGTCCTTTCCTGGGTTTCCCAGGACATCTTGTTCCTTGCCCCAAGATAAGAGATAGAGACTGTCACTGACGACAGGCTCAAAATGCTCACAAATAAACGATGCTCCTTCCTAGCATAGGTATCAGCAGCACAGCGCCTTCCTCCTGCTTCTCTATTAGTTCCAAGCCCAAGTCACAGGGTGGGACTTGAACCTGCAACCGTCTGTCTGCAGAAGTGACTGAGCTGATAAGTGCCTCAGTGCAATCAACAGAAGTTTTGCCATTGATTTCAGTGAAGATCAGAGGCTGTGCCAACCTTGTTTGGGATCACAAGCCAGTTGTCTAGTCTCTTGGTACGGATGTTAATGGCTCTGCGCCCTGGATACTGTGCAATCAGGCATGCAGGAAGAGCGCTCGTCCTGTAAGCAGAGCTGGCTGGCGGAGGGACCGTCCCACCCTGCACAAGAGAAGGTGTGTCAGGCATCTAATCCCCTGCTGTGGTGTTCTCCTCCAGTGATTCTTGGCATTGAGCAATCAGAGACAATCAATGTAGGCGTCTAGATCTGCAAGTTTAACCTTCAGCGAGCTCAGGGCCTGGGAGAGGAGATGTCACTGGGGCCTTTGATTTCGGATGGCCCCCCCAAGTATGGCACAAGGGGCTGCCCCATTGCTGAACAAGAGGAGAAGTTCCCAATTACACTAGGCCAACATCTCACCTCAACAGCCGCCTTGCTCACCCACTCACTCTCTCCCAATGAAGCATGGTGGAGAACTGCTGGAGGGGGAGAAGCCGGCTCCTGGAAGAGCGTAAGCTCTACCTAGCCCTTGTCTTTAAGTCACCCCTTGAACCTCAGCAGGTTTCTCAGCCGAGGTGGATTTTGCTCCAACACACATGGGCCAGAGGTTGAGGTGGGGGGGGGGGGAGGGAACGGGACTGAAGACATGGGGATTTTATTATGGGACTCTGGGGCACCGGGGCACCATCTGGGAACAGAAGGCACAACACCAGCAACTGCGTGCTTGGCACTAACATTTCATCTCCAAGCTCAGAGCCGATCCCAGAGAGTTACTGGTTGGAATCAGACCTGCTGCTAGTGACAGGCAGGGACCCACTCAGGACACCGTATGATGCAGATTCCCTTATCTCCTCTGGGGGGCGCTCTCCCTCAGGGTCTAAATGCACCAAGCCGCTCAGCCACTGCTCTCCCCCACTCTGCGGGTGGAGTTTAGGGTTCGTATCCTGCCTGGTGCCCACCTCCCCACCTTTACTGCAGGAACGGGCTAGAACGATGCTACAGCCTTGGGGCTCTAATGCTCTGCCAAGGGCATTTTGCTTAGACAAAGCAGAAGGATCTCTAAGCAGAGTGCGGACGTTTCAAGAACCCCAGTTTAGGAATTCCCAGCTTTGCTTCCTGGAGCTCCCCCACTCCCTGATGGCCCCCACCCTGCCACAGCCCAGAATAGTTGCAGCCAGCATCACTCACCAACTGCACCCATCCCAATCCTTCTCAGCATCCCCGAGGGTCTCAACTGCCGCAGACATCAACGGGAGCTGAGGGCACTTAGCATCGTGAAGGACCTGGCCTTGCCCTAGCTTGGGTCTCTTTTCTGTCTATTTCCCCTCCCCGACCTGATTTTTGGCAGATTGTCCCCCCCAGTGACTCCCCATCCCTGCAATGTCACTCACTGCAGAAGCAACACATTTGCCCCTTCCCAGACGCACACAATGGAGGGGCATGTCAATGCAGCTTCTCCCCCCCCCCCAAAAAAAAACAACACCTCTACACTCTTTGCCTCACTGGACTGTCTCCAGGCCCAAGTGGGGCAGACACTGCCCAAATTCCTGGTCTGTCTCAGACATCCCTGCCCAGGTCAGGCATAGGGAGGCGCAGCTGCGAGGGGACCGAGGCCGAGCCACCCCCCCTTCACGCAGGTCTCTGTTTGTGCTCCCGCTGAAGGGGGGCAGGGACAATCTCCTCATTACTCTGGTACATATAGGAGCTGGTGCTGAGGAGGTTGCCATGGCGACAGCTCCACTGTGG